TTTTTTTTTTTTTTTTTTTTCCGGAACCGGGGATTGAACTCAGCGAAGCGCTTAGTCTACTGAGCCATCTCCCCGGCCCCCGGGTGTTGTCTTTTTGAGACAAGGTCTCACTATGCAGTTCAAGCTGGCCTTGAGCTCATTTTGTAGTACAGGCTGGTCTGAAACTCGCAATGATCCTTTTGCCTCAGCCTCCCAAGTGCTGGGATTACAGGCCTGTGTCACCACACCCTGCTCATAGTGTGTATATCACAAATGTGTATGTCACAATTTATCACAATTTTATTATCCATTCTTAGTACAGTTTTTCCCCCGGTTTGCCACACCAGGGACGAATCTTGAGCCTTACAAATGCTAGGCAAGTGCTCTACCAAATAAGCTGCACCCCGTCCCTAGTAAGGTTTTTTTTTTATTAGTTGGTTTTGCTTTTTTTTTTTTTTTTTAGTTCAGGCTGGACTTCAACTCGGTATGAAGCCCAGGCTGATTTCAAACTTGCCATGATCCACATGGAATTATGGCCATGTGCCACCACACCTTGCTTTTTAGTAGTTTTAATATGGGTTTCTCTTCTAAATTATAATGATCATTTTTTCCATATATCTGAAGAATTTTTCAATACTTTTGTGTTATACTTACTGTAATATATGTTGCATATATTTTCTCCCCGGATGTCATTTGGCATTCAACCTAGAAGCTAGAAAAAAAATGGATGTATAGTACCCATGTATATACTATCTATAATTACTTATGTATCTGTCTATATTTAAAATAAATAGAAGCCAGGCATGGTAAGGCATGCCTGTAATCTTAGGACTCTAAGAGGCTGAGGAAAGAGGACCACGAGTTCTGTTCCAGTCTAGGCCACTTAGTGACTTAGTGAGACCCTATTTCAAAAACACAACAACAAAAAATAATAGCTGGAATGTAGTTTGGTGCTAAGGTTCCATGTTCAATTCCCAGAACCTCAAAAAAGAGAAATATAAATATGAATTTCTACTGACAACCACCCATTTACTTGATTGTTCAACCCTAGTACAGTAGCAGGATTGTTGATTCACTCATATATGCACTGGAAAGGGCTTTAACAAATAGGATTACTTTGTACACTTCTGTCCTTGCACTTGGAGTTTTCAAACAAACCATCATGTTCCAAAGTGACTTTGCTCAGTATCTTTCCCACTCCCGCCTCTTTAGTGAGGTTACATGATACATTTTTAAACACACTTACACTGTGTTGTCATAGTTTTCATTCTTTTCTTTTTATTTGGAGAGGTTTTGATTTTTGAGACAGGGTATCCCAATGTAATGAGGGCTGTCCTGGAAACTGCTTACGTAGTCTGGGCTGGCCTCAAACTTGTGGTGATCCTCCTCCTCAGCCTCCCAGATGCTGAGATTAGTGGTAACTGAGTGTGTTACCACTCCCAGTTTAATCATTTTCTGTGTTTTATTTATTTGTAAATAATTTTTTTCTCCTTGTCTTTCTTTCTCTTTGTGTTCTTCTTTGGTACAGGGTCTTGCTATGCAGCTCAAGTCTGGCTGACATGATGTGCCTGGAGTTCTGGGACTGGCATGGGAACTGAACCCAGGTTTGTGTGCTTGCCAGGCAGGCACTTAGGCCACCAAGCCAACTCCCCAGCCCCAAGAACATACCTTTTGAGCAAAACTTTCTCAGCAACCAGGAGGAACACTGCCTTTCCCTAGTATTATGACTATAAGCAACAGAGAGAAGAACAATTTAGCAAAACAATGTAGTTACTTTGACAGTATTTTAAGACAATAATCACAACTAACTACATTATACTAGGACAATTACATTTTTTTTTTTTTTGTGGAACCGGGGATTGAACTCAGGCCCTCACGCTTGCCAAGGGAAGCACTTATCCTACTGAGCAATCTCCCCAGCCCCAGTAAAACAAAATTTTAAAGAGTTATTTAATAAAATGAACTTTCCAAGACTTAATTTTGTTTTTTTTTTGTTTTTTTTATTTTAACATTTATTTTGTGTGTGTGTGTGTGTGTGTGTGTGTGTGTGTGTGTGGCCAGCTCAGCCCACCAGGGGGCACGGCCGGCATGTGGTGCTGGAGGATTGAACCGCGGTCCCTGTGCTTTGCCAAGCTTGTTCCAAAGTAGGTGCTTTAGACCACTGAACCATCTCTCCAGCCCCTTAATTTTGTAAACATTTAATACTAACAAGACAGCAATGAATAGAAGAAATTATTTTACAAATTTAAAACCTCTTTTTCAGTTTTGCTGCAAATTTTACTAAAAATAGATTAAAAGCTTAAGATTTATTGGCCTAAACAGATTCTGATTTTTATCTCTGTGTATTATATTTCTGTTTTGTTCTTTGAGGCATGTGTAAAGGGTTAATAGAGTTTTGTACCTTAATTGTGAAAAATTATAAAACCCCTTGTGCTTCTTGTTATCTGCTCTAAAAAATATATTTGCCCTTTCGGTTCAAGGCTGTTCAACAATAAATAACTGTTTCTTGTCAAGGCAGCAAGCTAACACAAACTCCCTCCCCAACCATCTCCTGTAATATAGGCAGCTTAAGATGTACCTTGTAAAAATATGCACTTATCACTAAGCTGTAAAAGACCTTTTAGTTATAAACAATTTGCAGCTGTGTCAAATAAATGCAGTTTCTGTTGTTCTGTACTAGATAACAAGTTTGCTTACCAAACTGGATGTGATTTCTGTTATAAATACCCCCTTGCTACCTAGGTTCGGGGCTGATCAGCCTTCTGCGAGAGAAGTGGCTGACAGACCTAAGTTCAGTAAATAAAAGGCTCTATTCAAATTTCTATCGGGCTGATCTGGTTCCTATGCAGAGCTGACCCATAACAGCATGTAGTTCAGCCTCCAAACCGCAGTGATCCTCCTGCCTCCGCTTCCAGTGAGATGGCCACCAAGAGGAGGAGGAGCGAAGGTGGCTGGAAGTGAGAGCGCAAGGTTGGAGGTCACCACTGTCTCTCTGTGCTCCTCTCTGACTCTCACTGTGAAAGACCCTCATCCACCTGTACACGGGAAGGTGATGAAGGGAGGCAAATGGGCCTCTCCAAGTCTGCAGAACTGGCTTCAAATAAATCCTTTTTTCCTAAAAACATAAACAAACAAAAAGAGCTGAGGATGTGAAGTTGAGCTAAATATGAAGACTCTGAGTTCAATCCTCAGTACCCCAAAAGTAAAAATAAATAAACAGTATACAGAAAGCAAATGCCATGGAAGATGGGGGGGTCCTGCTGCACTGCCACTGGCAGTATAAATTAGTACAGGCATTATGGAAATTAGTACAGAGACTCCCCAGAATACTTGAGGTACAGCTACCAGACGATCATGATACCTCACCTTGCTATACACTGAAGGACTTAAAGTCAGCTTACCCCAGCAATACGTGAGGTAGTATGACTGGCTTTCTTCTTTTTCTCCCCCTTCTCTTTCCTTCCATTCTTCCTTCCATTTATCTTTCTTTCTCCTTGTCTTCTCCAACGCATGGAGCCAGGCGAGGGCTCAGTGAAGGCCCTCTGCGAAAGGTGAAGAGAATACACTATGCAGATCATGGAGTAAGATTCAGCCATACGGAAGAACAAAATTATCCCATTTTTGGGAAAGTGGAAATGGAGAGCTGCATGTTGAAGGATATAAACCAGACTCAGACAACTGTTGCATGTTTTCCCTAATACATGGAATCTAAGAAAAAAAAAGGATGGCATGAAAGTAGAGGGAGACTATTATTGTACAAGAGGAAGGGAATAATGGGAGGGGAGGAGGTGCAAGGGACTGGATACCAACAAACTATATTTATTTATTTATTTATTTATTTATTTATTTTCTTATT